AATAATTATATAATATAATATATTATGTTATAATATAATATAGTTGTAATTTTTAATTATATTATAACTGAAATATTAATATTTTTTATATCATATTATAATATGTTTTATAATATTGTAATTATATTAACTATTTTAATCATATTATTATATTCTATGTCATATAGTGTGGATCAGTTGGCATGATTTGAGATATTTAGCTTGATCACTAATTAATATCAGACGTTTTCAATTTGTGTCTAGTGTTATTTAATGTATATCCTAATTAAATTGAATACTAGACTATGGTTAGAGATCATCTAGACCAATCTACATATAATCAATTTGATAATTATGCAGAACGAATGGGACAATGATTATAATAAAAGTAGTGTAATTGCTAAGGTATGACTGTAAACACACTGTTTGACAACGAAATATGGATAAGAGCCCATTAATATCAACTGATGACATTTTTATAAGTGGTAATTAGTATCTCTAAACGTGAAGGCACAGGCTGGATTTATATATGTACCTTTTATTATATATATATATATGGGCTTTTTTTTTTGTTTGTTTGAAGATTTATGATAATAATATATATATATATATATATATATATGTCAATTTTAATTAGTAAAAAACACTCTTCTAAGCAACTCAGAAGAACCAGATAACCTAGAGCTGACTAACTCATGAGTCATTTTCGTAATATGAAGATCTATTACTACTGCTATTCTTTGTTTACAATGAATAGATTTTTGTTTTGAATTAATTTACAGACCAAACATCGTTATACACGCTTATTAATGGCACTTGCTTTCAAAATTTGCGGCGGCTTTGTCTGCGCGTTCGAAACTATTTTTTACAACGGTTTTTACGTTTTTTAAAAAAAAAAAAAAAATATGAAACGATATTTATTTAGTAAATATTTTAAAAATAAAAACGAAAACGAAAACAATAATAATAATTTTTGTGAAGAAATTAGAAATTATTGAAAATTATTTTTACTTTTTTGTTTCATATTTTAATACTTATTAATAATATTATAATATATTAATTAATAAATATAATTTTATTTTTTTATTATACTCAAAATAATATTTTAAAAAACTAATTAAATACAATTTTAAAATTAGTCATCTCAAAATAATTTTATTTTTACTTTTTATTACAAATAAAATTATTTTAAAACCAATTCTAATGCACTCATAATTTTGCTCACCTTTTAGGCTTTGTAAAAGAAAAAACACGAAAAAAGTAAGAGATCTGTTAATTATGGCATTCTAGTTTTAAAGGCTTAGACGGGCTCTATTTTAAGTTGAACGTCTAGTCTACCCTTTGCATACATATAATTAATTTTTTTAATTGCGAATTAATATTTTTTTAAAAGTAACGTCTCTTCGATGAAATATTATTAAGAAAATCATTCTACAGGACTCATCGTACTTGGGTGCATTTTAGAAAATCTGCTTTTACTTGCAATCTAGAGTAATTGATACTATTGATCCTTGAATTATTTAAAAAGTTACAAGTTAGTACCCGTTCTTTTACTTTGTCAAAAAGACCCCTTTAAAAGTGTTGGCAATAATCAATGGTAGTTCATAAGCGATTTTCTAAAAATAAAATTAACACATGCACTACTTAGAAGACTTTTGATCTGCAATAATTTTAAAAATAAGAATGAAAATATGTGAGATTACCGCGTATGGTATAAGAATTATAACTTCTTAACTCCTAAAAAGTGAATCACACGGTATTCACTTTTCTTTATTTTGGGATAATTTGATCAGATGCCTGAGAATCCTAAGAAGGTGGGAATCTCACCAACAACCAATAGTCACTCACCATCATTACAGCCACACCACTACACCCATCTTCACAGCCACCGTCCCACATGCTCCGCCAATCGTCACATCCACAGCCCCACTTCGTCGGCCTCCGTCACCAGCATCAAACGGCCAACCGAGCCCCTCGCCAACGTCCCACGACCAGCCTAGCCCCGTGCCAGCCACCATCGTGCAACCCAATTACCATCGACGTCCGTCCCGCGAAACCCATACCCCACCTACCTCCACCGAGCGAGACCCAAACGCCGCCGGCCTCCGTTGCGTGAGACCCAAACCCTACCGGCCTCCGTCGCTCGAAACCCAGATCCCGCCGGCCTCCAAGTCGCGAAACCCAGAAACCACCGCCCTCCGTTCCACAAAACCCAGACCCCACCGGGCTCCGTCGCGTGAAAGACAGACCCCGTCGAGTTCGTGGCGTGAAATCTAGACCTCGCCCGCTGCGAGAATGAGAGGGAGAAAAAGATAGAGAGCGAGAGTGATTATTTTTTTTAAAAAAAAAAATTCAATTAATAAACTTATTTCTTTGATTTTTATTAATTTTAAAATTGTTAGTATTCTTTTACATATATTTTTTGAATGTAACGGTGTGAAATTTATATTCTCTTAATTTTATAAATTTAAAATATTTAAAATTCTAAATTCTAAAAAAAAGAATTGCCTTATATTATTATGAGCAACTACACGTAATAAAATGATATTTTTGAAATTTTGAGACAAAATTCATATACATAATCAAATGTAACAATACATGTTTTTTAAGAATTATATTACCTTACGTTACTTTTCTAATAATATGATTCTTACTAATTACTCGTACCAAATACCCTCTTATAATAGTAGCAATACAACATCAAAATCCCAAAGAAAATATTATTCCTAATATTTAAAATAATCCTAAGAGATAAATGCCAAATAAATCCTAAAGTTAAATATAATTTTAAATTCAACTTATTAAAATAAACTAGATTCTAAATAAATATGGCTTCATGGAACGTGTTACTCTTTAGAGTTTAACTTGAATATAATTCTTGAGTTGAATTTGACTTATAACTTGAGTTAAAGTTGTAATTTGAGTTTGTGTTTGGTAGTGTACATTTGAGTTATAATTTGAGATAGGAATCTTTTTGAGTTTGTGTTTGAGTGAGTCAAAACTTGAATTTGTAGTTATATAGTATTTTAATAAAAACTCAATGCTGATAAAAAATTTTAATAGGGTATATAGGTGTAGTTTTATTCGTCTTTTCGTTGTCAACGCATAGAAAAAAAAATCATCTCAATCAGAATTAAAATGAAAAAGTTATAGCATTTTTAAGAATAGAAAAAACACTGTTCATTAATTTGAGTTCGAGTTTATGAACTCGAGTTCGAGTTTCTCAAACTCGAGTTCAAACTTAAAAGAACATATACTCGAATAAAATTGTAACTCGAGTTGCCTTTTTTTGAGTTTTGTTATCAGAAGAACAACCCCTAAGTTCCCTGGTTACAAAAAAGCTACACTTGTTCCTTGTTCTAAGTGAGGAATAAGTGTAAGCTTTTTGGTGGAAGGATTTTGGAATTCATGGTTGTTCGCTAGGAGAGAGGCAAAAAAGAGAGAAAAGAAAGAGATTGGGCGAACGGATTTCAATCCTTCACCAAACTCATGAATTCGTAATAGGGCTGGCAATCCGGATAGCGACACGACTCGAAACATGCATGAAATTAGTGAGTTTGAGTTTACTATAAATGAGTATGAGTCATAATCGGGTTGACACAATTAATACGAAAATAAATGGATTGGGTTAAGGTTGACCTCCGAACAGAAATGACACGAATTGACACGATTAACTATGTGTGTCATCTGTAATCTAATGATATGTGATATAATATGAAAATTTATATGACATATTAAACACAAATAATGTGAATTTTAATATTTGTAAGTAAAATTCATTTATTTTTCTTAAAGGAAAATATAAATTGACCAATAAACATCTTAAACCTGTCATGATTGTGTTAAATAAGTAATTATTATATTAGTTATTTATTCAATATATTAATTTAAACGAGTTGACACAATTAACACGATTAATAAATAAGTCGTGTCTGAGTTTACATTTTTGACACGTTTAATAAACATGTTATGCTTGAGTTGATATTTTCTGATATGATTAATAAACGGGTTGATACGAACACAATTCACTAACACGAATTGCCACCCTAATTCGTAACATCATAACAAACACAAAAAGAGGGAAGTGCTTATAATTCATTCCTGATTTCCTTCCCCTTTCCTCCTACTTTATTTCGTCTTACCAGATGTAATATGTGGTTTACTGGCCATTATGAGGTGGGACATGTTTGATGAACAATATGAATGGCCCTGCCATCTATGGAGCGATTAACACAGATCATCTTGTTTTACACTACTTAGTACTTGCATCTTCCCCAACGGAATCAGAAGAACTCCCAGTGCAAATTCTCATCTCCATTACTTTCCTATTTTTTCATTTACAAATAAAATTACAATAAACAATCCCAAATCACCTCTCGACCAAAAATTATGACACTTTCCACAGCAGTTGTCACTTGCTTCTGAACCAAAAGTAGCCTAAATTGAAAAAACATGAAACAAAATACATGTATTACTCTCTAGTTATTGCATTACGCTTGATAACCTCTTTTTCCCCTCGCGAGGCCACACTATCAACACCACACAAGCAAAATACAATGTAAAATTGTAGAAGTGTGCGAAGACGTCGATCTTCGTATGATAACGACAGCAAAACTTCAAACGCAAAGCCAAAGCCAGTCTGAGAGCTTTGCTCTTGAGCAGTGCCTCTTATCAAAATAGTGCAGAAGAGCTCCTTGATCTCAACATGAACATCTTTTTTCATTCCATTATGAGTATTTATATATGGTCACTAAATTGAACATGTTCATCCCAAATCTATTCAACGGGGTTCTAATCTACATGATGTTTTCTATTCTACTTTACGGAGAACAAGTAGACGAAACAATTGAAACAAACAAGTAAACATTGCAATCATAGAAAGTGAGAGTATCACGTGCCAGAAAAATGAATAAAACCATGTTAAGTGGGTTTCAAATTACCCCAAAATGAGGTCTGTAAATGTATATTTTAATTCTTGTACCAAACATCCCTTAGATTATTGTATACTAAATGCCCCCAAAGAGTCCTTAGATTATTGTCTACTAAATGCCCCCAAAGAGTTATTATGATGCATAATCACACGAAAAATCTACAATGTTTATTGCCCAAAATTTTATATTTAGGGAGAAAAAAGGTGGACCTGGATGGAAGCACGTAAGAAATGCTAGAAAGCACAAGTGGCCTTTGGTAAGTTTCATTGGAAGGACTTCATTAAAAAACTTTCATTTGCAAGGCATAAACTTGACGAAATCTTTGCACGTGATGAGTGATGAACACAATTCCCAAAAAATCAGCCAAAATCTTACTCAAACCACAAAATTCCATCCCTACAAGTTGGTAAAGACATTACCAACAGTTTAGTAGCCTTTGTTTCCTCGTATTCTAGCTCTCATATCGACCTGGCCTCGCTTGCAGTTGAAATACGTCTCCCTCAAGCCGACGCACTCGCTCGAGATTGTAGGACTCTTCTCTCCCGCACATTCTCTAAACGACCGGTTTTCGACCTTGACGCAATCAGACTCGCTAAGGCACTTCACCAACTCCATTGCTAGGCCCTTACAAGACTTTGACATTTTTGTTTTCTTCCCTTCCTTCTCCCAAAGATTTTAGGTCTCACTAACACACCAAAACACACAGAAAGAAAGAGAAATAAATCAAATTAGAGCTAATCCAACAAATTAAAGAATCTAAAGTCCCACAGCAAAAGGCCAAAAACATCTCACACAAAGTCTAACCAACAAGGAGTCACAAATAATGAAATATCACTTTACATGTTTCAAGTTATTCATCAACAGATACAATCTAAAACCAAAAAGCCATCATTTACCTACATTTTTATGTCACTTATAATGAGAAGCAAAGATTGAAACTGATTGGCAAAAAAATTTCCAGAAACCCCTTTTTTTTTTTTTTTTTTTCCCCTTCTTTTTGAGATGAAAGAAAAAACAAGTAAATCTCATGTTGCCTACTTTGGGTACTTCATAAAACACAAAATATGAAGAACCAGAAAAGAGCGAAGGAAATTAAAGAACCGAATAAATAAAAGGTCAAATTCAGTGATTCATTTTGACATCTAACTAAGAAAAACAGACTTGTAACAGATTGATAAGAGAATTAGGCAAAATTATGACCACAATTTCTTCTTTCCTTGAATTCATAAATACTTACAAGTGAAATTACATTTTCATTTACTGGCACTCTCAAAAAAAAAAAAAAAAAAAACAACTGTACTTTTCTAGTCCATCCAATCCAATAGCTTAAAACTAATAAAATACTCCCTTATTTAAAACCCTAAACCGGAAAAGAACACAGAAATTAAGCAAAACCATAACTTCTGTAATCCCACACGAAACAAATTGAGAAAGTTAATACCAAAAGAAAAACAAATTAATCGAACGGAATTTTTAATTCAAACGATAACCACATCGCGATCATGTCTAAGCAATCAAAAATCTAGAGAGAGAGGAGAGAGAGAGAGAGAGAGACCTACAGAAAAATTGAGTAGCGAAAAACCCAATTGAAAATTGAAAATTTTCCATGCTTTTATTAACCGAAACGAGGAAATTAACGATAATTAGATGAAAATAAACTCTGAACTTAAATTTCTAACAGATATTAACATAATCAAACGTAAGTTAGGAATAATCTGAGAACCGTTTCGTTCATTGATTTAAAGCGTAATCGGCAAAATTAAAATCTAGATTCTAAATTTCCATAAGATTTTTTATTTTTTTTTAAACAAAGCTTAAGTATTGATAATTGAGATTCTCAAATGAAATTTGCAAATCTTAGTTCTGAGCTGAGGAGGAGAAGAGTACCTTGACTGAGGAGCAAAATCAACCGCCGGAGAAAAAGAGCCGTGAATTCGCCTAGTCCTAGTCTGGGAAAAAGTAGGAAATAATAGATTTATGAGTGAGAATTAAAATTAATAGCATTATAGCAAGAGGAAAGAAATTAATAACATTTTTCTCCCAAAAACATTTTAAATCCCCGAAATACCCCTAGTCCTCTCCCAGATTAGAAAAATGCTATTAAGGTTGTGTTTGGTTGGGGGGAATGGAATGAAATGGAATGGAAAGGTCATTCTCCCCGATTCTGTTGTTTGGTTTCAATTTTATAGTTGGAATGGGCTTTCCAACGGAAAGCCCATTCACTCAATTTGAGTGAATGGACATTCAGTTGGGTGGGCGGTGGAATCGCAATTCCATTCAGCCATTTTTTCATTTTGTCCATCCTGTCCCTGAGGTCCCGAGAGTGATTCGAGGAGAGAAACACCCTACGCCTCCCATCGCCGTCGCGACCACCGAAGCTCCGATCGCCGTCTCGACCACCCGAGCTCCCATCGCCGTCGCGACCCGAGCCGTGCGTCCGCCGATCGATTCTCGCCTTCTCCCTTCCTTTTCGGCCTTCCTCCACTCTGTTTCTTGGCTTGTTCGAGCCGTTCGTTTCCGTTCGATTCTCGCGACCCGAGCTCGTTCGAGAAGCCGTAGATCTGGTTGTAGCTTCACCGGCGGCTGTATTTCCGGCACGGTCAGTTTGCGGTTGATTCCGGCAAGGTGAGGCTCCATTCTTTGATCTCGATTGATTTTTTTTTTTTCATTTTTTCGAGTGTTTTTCAGATTTAATAGTATTTGTCTGGGAGAGGACTAGGGGTATTTCGGGGATTTAAAATGTTTTTGGGAGAAAAATGTTATTAATTTCTTTCCTCTTGCTATAATCTATTAATTTTAATTCTCACTCATAAATCTGTTATTTCCTACTTTTTTCCAAGACTAGAACTAGGCGAATTCACGGCTCTTTTTCTCCTGCGGTTGATTTTGCTCCTCAGTCAAGGTACTCTTCTCCTCCTCAGCTCAGAACTAAGATTTGCAAATTTCATTTGAGAATCTCAATTATCAATACTTAAGCTTTGTTCAAAAAAAAAAAAAATCTTATGGAAATCTAGAATCTAGATTCTGATTTTGCCGATTACGCCTTAAATCAATTAACGAAACGGTTCTCAGATTATTCCTAACTTACGTTTGATTATGTTAATATCTGTTAGAAGTTTAAGTTCAGAGTTTATTTGCATCTAATTATCGTTAATTTCCTCGTTTCGGTTAATAAAAGCATGGAAAATTTAAAATTTTCAATTGGGTTTTTCGCTGCTCAATTTTTCTGCAGGTCAATGATGGTGATTTGGGAATCCGTTGATTTTAGCTAATTTTCTGTTTATTTATTTGCAGTTTTCTGCATTATTTTGTTCTTCTCTTCTACGTAATTTTGGCTCTTTAATTTGCAAGGGATCTTCAACTGTTAAACATTCAGTTCTCTCTGTAACTGTAAACTGAAATCTGTTTCATACATTTTGTTTTTGCATTTTAATGTTAAGGATTATCACCAAATTTTCTGAAATGAAGAAGGCACAATTTTCTTTGGTACCTCGGTCTTTTTATGAACAGGAAGGTAGAAAAGACAGTATTATGTAGTCTGTAGACATGTACAAAACTCATTTATATTGAATATAGATTATGTCTAATACTTTGGGTCATTTTGAATATTGTCACAGGAAAGGGAAAAAAATGCAACAAGAGAAGGATGTTGATCATGATACTCAGAAACCTCTAGAGAAGAGGCCTGGCATTATCTTTGTCGGCTCTCCCAACGTCGGCAAGCGCACTCTCCTCTCACGTATGCCATTTTCCATCTCTCTCTCTCTCTTAACCGTTATTAAATTATGGCTCTTGGAATTCTCGAAAATAAAGTAAACTTGCAAGAACTGCAAAGCAACTGAAGATACTGTGTTTGTAGGATTAATCTCCGTTGATTTTGATGAAACGTCTGAATCAACATCCGAAGATGTATTTCATGGGTAGGTTCTCTTTTATTTTCTTTTGTTTTTCATTTCATTTTTTTTTTTTTTTAACTTCACGGTCGCTAGTACAAGGGATTAGAGGATACTAGATGTTTGTCCATTACTTTCTTTGTCCTGCTACAATTCACGTTGGTTGTTGGTTTTTTCATAAACAGCTGGACTATCGACACAAAATACTACACCGCTGATGTTTCTATATGCGTCGCTCATTTTCATGAAGGATTCTCCATTACCCTTCCAACATATACTCAGCTTGCAGCCCTTGTCATGGTCTTTGACATGAATGATGTAGGTCATTTCCTCTTCTATAGTCTCACATTTCGGCAGTGCAAGCTTGTTAATTTTAATGCTTCAGTACGCTACCCCCTGCGTTTTAAAATTCATTGCATATGCCACCACTAAGGATTGCTGTAATTGAATTTCAATTCATGATATTCTGCGCAGCCATCATCTCTTATTGCCCTACAAGATTGGGTATCTCATAACGACCTTCAAAGGTTTGAGATTTTGTTGTGCATAGGGAACAAAGTGGATCTTGTTCCAGGTCATCCAGTTCATTCTGAATACAAAAGACGCCTATTGAAAGTAGAAGACTCGTTTGCCGACTCTCGTTTGGAGTTTGTCGACTACGGAATTTCTGAAACAGAGGGAAGCAGTTTTTTAGGGAATGAGGAACCCTCATTAGAGATTAGAAGGTCATGTTTGGAGTGGTGCGCTGAGAATAACATCGAGTTTATTGAATCATGTGCTTGCAACGCTGCTTTTGACAAATGTAAGGCCCTCTTCTTCATGTCTTGACCTGCTTTCATGTACTCTTTTATTATAAGCGAATTTGTACTCCATTCTGCTCTAGTTTGTAACTAAACAACACATAACATAATTAGGAAATGTGAATACCTGCTCAAGATGGGGTTTTACATGTTAGGAGTTGCTCTGGCTGCAAGGAATATGAATATTTGGATCGTAATAATTTATTGTCCCCATTATAGCAGTTATTCATAGAAAATGCTTCAAAATAGGATTGAGCTTAAAAACGTCCCACTGTTGTGGCTAGTATGGAGTTGTTCCAGTATGACTTAACCTTGCGGGGATGGGAATTGGTTTAGGGAGATCTACCACAAACACACACACACACGCACAATACATAAACATTAATGATATACATCTAAGTGCAAATGCTTGATGCTCTGCAAAGGAGTTCACCTGTTGGGTCCCTTGAACAGAAAGGGTAACAATTACGGGAGAAATTGATAAATGAAGTTAGATGTCAAGTGGTTTGGGGAAAAAAGGATTTGTCTCTGCTTATTTTGTTGATAAGATGCAGATGGCTTTGTTGGACAGGTTTGTCTGCTGATGGTGATTCACAAGGAGTTGAACGTCTCTTTGGTGCTCTCGCTGCTCATATGTGGCCCGGGATGATTCTTAAGTTAGGAGATAAGATTGCTGAACCATCATTACCTGAAAGAGAAGGTCTTTTCTCCACTTGCGTTTAGCTAGTACTTGACTTGTTACTTAGAATACTCAATATTTTCATACTCTCTTTTCAGATTTGTCTGAAGAAGAATCTGAATATGAACTTGAGTACGAAATTCTATCTTCGGGTTCAGCTGAACCATGGGATGACACAGATAACAGATGGATTTCTGCAACTGGTACTGTTTCCACTTCAAATGCAGAGGTATCAGTTTCTCAAGGTAACCCCAACTCAAATGGCAATCTGGAGAATTTAAACATATTCAGCGGAAAGGAGACGCCCCCTTCAACATCAACGGCTGCATTACACGAGGACAAAGACGAGGGAGTGGCACAATATGTAGAAGAACCCAGTGGAGTTGCGAAAGCTGGTGAGAGTTTACATTTTGATTTCGATGAGTTGGAACACTTGATGTCAGAGATAGGTAACATGCGGGAGAGTTTGAGGCTGATGCCCGATTTTCAGAGGAGAGAAATGGCTGCAAATCTTGCATTGAAAATGGCTGCCATGTTCGGCGGAGGCAGTGATGATGAAGAGGAAGCTTGATGCAATCGATACTTGGCATGCTGTTATAGGGATGATCAGTAGTTTGGAGATTGGTCATGGCTTTTTTCCTTTTCTTGTACTTGTTCATGAGTTTATGTTGAGGAAGGTGTTAGTCTTAGTTTCACTCGTATATCAATTCCAATGGTCGACACTATGTCCGAGCCATTATTCTCCATCTCGTCATATAGTTATAGTTTGTGCTTCTGGAAATTCGACTTTTACTTATTGCATAAGTACAAATTAAAAGTGGAGAAATATAGTTTTTAAGTAACTGTTATGGTTCCTGTTAAAATATTTCTATCCACTGTTTTCATATATATATATATATATTATTTGTGTCCTATTATCTAGAAAGGACTTCATAGAGCTTCCAAATACTACTAAATAACTGTTGTAACTTGGTTTTAGGTGCTAGCCAGCATACAAACCAAATCATATGGCTATGCTTTTAATTATTTTCATTTCGAAGTCCTTAATGTTTTTGTTTAATGATAAGGAGGTCTTAACAAAATATTATATTTAAGATATACAAACACGATGTTAAATAATTTTCTGAGACTTAATTCAGTACCACATTCCTCCATGTGCGTCAATAGAGTGATGAACATAAATAACCCATGCTTGCGAAGAGGAATGAATATGAAAATCAAAAACAAAAAATGGAACGTAATTGATTGATGTAAAAAGGGGATTAAGAGTACTTTATTCTTTACGTGTATATGAATATAAAGAATAGAATTTGAAAATTCTATCTCTGAATCTCGTATATAAACATTGAGTATTACATCTACGCAGTGTAAAAAAGAATTGATCTATTTAGTACAATCTATATTGACTAAGCTTAATCACTACTAATTGCTTTAATTTGTATCTGTTGATAGTGAATTTTGTGTTAATTAACACGTGAAACTCTCTGCCTTGGATTAACAGAAGAGAGTTTGGAAAGAAGGAAAATGGATGCGGAGGAAATTAGAAGAGTTGCAGCAAAACAGACAAGATCAGGGCCAGTGACCAAAGGAACACTCTCGAACTTCTCCAACACTCCCACTTGAAGTATCATCATCACTGCATGCCCTAGCTTTGATTTTGCATCTGAAACTGATTTCATTTCTACCCACCTTGGAACTCTCTGAAACATATACAATTAAATCATACTTACTCACCAACTTAATACGCAGATAAAAATAGTCACTTGAGGCTAACACTCAAGTGATCGGGTGCGTCAGTGTGTACGTGTGTCTATAAGATTGAAATCCCGATCTTATTAGTAAAATGGATGTTATAAACCTCGTACCCGCATAAAAATTAACGTACCTTGATGTGGAATAAACCAAACAAGTTTGAGCCAGCAAGGCCTTTTTCTTTCGCAGGTTTTGACCCAACAAACATGGTATATAACCCAACTCCGAACATGAGCATGGCGGTTCCTAGAAGGAACGTATCTGCACGCAACATTAACATAATGCATTAGAAATATAAATATTAAGTGGGAGAATTTTCTGGGACACGAATAAACTCAAATTTTTGAACTAAAATTACGTTGTAATCAATGACAGAGCCAACCTTTCACCTTAATAGAAACGTATATTAAATTTTTTTTAACAAGTTATCTTAATGTGTGCATATAAGAAAATATATTTATTTTAATAGGAGTATATATTATTTCAATTGAAACTTAAATGTAAAATTTTAAAATTTTTAAAGATATTATTTTTTTCAAAAAAATTTGAGTGAGAGCGGCTGCCCCGCTCATCTCCAAGTGGCTTCACCACTGATTGTAACAATATAATTGTTAAATCCTGTTTATGTATTTTACGTCATTCGTTTTTCTATTTACATAATTTCATCATCTTTCAAATGAAAAAAGCTTTTTTAAAATTTAAAGTCCTAAAATTACAAATTTATATCGTAGCTAGAAAGCTGATCTATTGTTATGCAGGGTTTTAAGTTTGACTTTTTTTGTTTTTAATATGGAGTGGGAATTTGAACTCTACACTTTATGATAGACACCGATAAAGTGACAATGAATTAGGTGAGGACAAGTGCCGGGGCACTCAACTCTTCAAAGTTGAACTTTTACGACCATAAAAACCATAACAATTTTCAAAATTTATAACTCTAGTTATACCACTATTATGTAGTTGTATTCTTGCTGTATAATTGAAATATATTGTCATGTTCCTCTTTTATAAGAAATATTATAACCATGCCTCCACTCAATAATTGAAATTTGAAATATATAAATATCTGTATACAATTATGTTTGCATTCAATATAATATTATCTCTATTTTTTTCATAGCCCCATAAAAAATTTTCTGGCTCTCCACCACTGGTGATAGAGTCTGGTGTGGATTATTTACAGTTAAGTTATGTCCGTGACTATTTAAGTTCGAAACTACATATATCTAAAAGTCAAAACTTAGGATATAATTTATTAAAAAAACAAAAACAAAAACTCTACGTAGATATTATAGTAAAAAAAAAAATCAGAGGGCAAAATAGGATAAAAAATTCTATAAAAGATGTTTTTAGATGAGGATCTTTTGGCCGTGTTTGGAATTGATTCATTTTTTATTTTTCACGTTTTTTGAGAAAGAAAAAATGAAAACGTTTTCAAAACGGTGTTTGGCGCAATAAAGACAAAAAACGAAAATGAAAATGATTTTTTAATTTAGTGTAAAATGTGAGAGAAATAAAAAATGATTTTAGGGCGCTTTTAGAACTCGTTCCAAAATGATTTTTCTTTTTTGTAAGAAAATGAAAATGAAAATGTTTTCAATCTCAGACAGAAATCATTTTTGAAAATGCGTTTTGTAATTTTATCAATAGATTATTTTCAGTGTAAAAAACCCATTAATGTCTCTCTTTCTCTCTCTCTTTGCTCGAGAGAGGAGAAAACGAAATCAAAAAATGAAAAATGACTAAAAGTCGTTTTTCATTTCTCTCTCATTTTACATAAAACTAAAAAATCGTTTTCATTTCTGTTTTTTGTCTTGATAGCACCAACGACGTTTTAAAAACGTTTTCATTTTTTATTTCTCAAAAAACGTGAAAAATAAAAATAGGATCAATTCTAAACAGGGGTCTTTTTCATTTTTTGTTTTCGTTTTCTCCTCTCTCGAGCAAAGAAAGAGAGACATTAATGAGTTTTTTTATACTGAAAATAATCTCTCAATAAAATTACAAAATACATTTTTAAAAATGATTTCTGTCTAAGATTGAAAACGTTTTCATTTTCATTTTCATACAAAAATTAAAATCATTTTGGAACGAGTTCTAAACGCATCCTTTATTTCGATGAATATTAAGAAAGATCTGTAATTACCTATGGCTTCAATGAGTAGCTGCATCACAATTCTTTGATCTGTCTTCTCTGACAAAGTATGGAAATAGTGGATGTATGACTTTAGAACAACGAGGCAGCCCTGTAAATTCAACGGCAGAAAGAGTTATCTTAAAAAATAAAAAATAAAAAATAAAAAAAAGAAAGGAACTTACGATTTAGAATAATCTGGAAAATAAAAATGTAGAGTATAGATAATAATAATATACCTCAACGAAACACAACACAGAAGCAAGCAAAGACCCCGCAACGGCAAATAATGTAAAGAATCGACAATCAATTATGACCTGCACGTTACGTAAAATTAATTCATATTAAATCATATATAATAAATCAGTCATATATATATGACCACTTTCTTCTAGTATTTTTCGTATTTAAATTTACAGTTACTCATGAAAAAATACACAAGAAATTTAAGCTAGCTTGTTCATTGAATATAGAATATATTCTATTATTTCAAATAAAATAATGATAAAAAGAAGGAATAATAACCGGCCGGCGGTTCAATAACTCGCAACCACAAGAAATATATGGTCTATGTAGCACTGATCTACCTAGAACCTCAAAGATATATAATTTTTCTTCGATTCAAAAAAAAAAAAAAAAGAGATTAATCAAGAGACACTTATAAATCATATACATACCCTTTCGAAGAACATCTGGAGCTGCATTTTCTGAAAATAATATTTTCTTTGGTTAATCAAATCAGCCATTTTCCTTAACATGATTAAAAGTAGCAAAGCATGGTTTGAACTACTGGTAGAAAACAAATCCATCAATGACGTGAACATTCCACCACGGACTTCTCCGTCATTCCGGGGTGGTGTCGCCGTCGCTGCCGTTGTGACTACACTTCCCGAAGCGGCCGCCGCGGCCACCGATGCCTTAACAGTGCTAGTACTATCCTTATTCAAATAAAGTTGGTTGCTCTTCCTCTGATCATGATCACCAATATTAATTTTCTTCTGATCCGACCCTGCAATATTAAACCCTAAACCCTTGGCCGGAGTAGTACTACACCTGATAAAAACCGAAGAAGAGCCAACAAAACTCATCAGGGACCTATTATTACAAGACGGGCGTAACAACAACAACCTAGAGTTCGCCATTGCTGTTGCAAGTTTTTCTGTGTGTGTTTATATATATATATATATATATATATATATATATATATATAGCATGAAATGAATGTGAGGTTGATTGTAGAATTTGAACGTACGAGAGAGAAGATTCTCAGCATATTATTATGTTGTCGGGGCATGCAAATGGCCGGGTAGGAAGCAGGAAGCACTTTTCGCTTTTTCTCGGAGAGTTCGGCTTTGAATTTTGACCGTGAGTAATATTGATAAATATTTTTTAAAAGTGCATGAATTAAAATTTGTATCTTTTATTCTTAATTCATAATTTTTTTAGTTAAATAATTACGGTAATAAAAAAATATTTATTAAAAGTAAAAAATAAAAATTTAAATTCATACACTCTTAACGGTCTATTCTCAATTTTTTCTAATATTTTATTATCTTTTTTTTCTTACGGGCATGTTTAGTTCATATATTTAAATCAATAATTTTTAATTTTTATATTCAAATTTTAAATTTTTTATGAGAAAAAATATTATAACAAAATTAAAATTATTGATTTAGAGGACGTTTGGTTGGAGGATTCAAACCATGTGATTTGAATTATTTTCGATTTACGTGAATTTTTTGTGAGAAAAAATACTGTAACAAATTATAAATTATGATTTAAATTAAGGAACGAATCCCTCTACTAAACGATCTTTAAAGGCAACAAACGAGCCCTCAATATTCTTTTAACTTTTTTTATGTTTTTTAAACTTTTCAAGCTGATGTGACGCCAACCGTGTGGTCTGGGATTGATTATGGCGGGACACGTGTACGAAGCGTATCTTTTGGGAGGTTTCTTATTTCTGCGGAACGTTCTTCCCTTCGTCATCGTCGGCTAATAGTCAGACTTTTAGACGTCAAAGGTATATTTTCAAGCTGATGTGAAGCAAATGCACTTAATTGTAAATTTGTAAAAGTCAGACTTTTAGAGTATGTTTAGTAGGGAAGAAAAGTAGAAAGAATGAAGAAGTGGAGGGATTTTGGGAGAAAAAAATGAAAATGTAGGTTATTTAGTATGAGAGAAAAGAAAAAAGAAGAGAAAATGAAGTGGAAAATAATACATGTGGGTTTTATTATTTTTTTTTTTATAAGTGGGTAGAAAATGAGATGAAAAATGGAGACAACTCATTAAAATGAGTAAAGTTACTAAACTATTATTTTCTCCATCAAAATCCAAGCAAAAAATTTAAGGGTATAAAAGTAATTTACGAGTAAGATTTTTTCTTTCCTCTCAATTTAACTTTCAATACCAAACAAGTGAAGATAAGCTCATTTTCTTTTCATATTCTCATACCAAACAACATAAAAAAAATCAATTTCTTTTCTATCATTGTTATTTTCTATCACCTTTATATTTTCTTTCTATCTTATTTTTTTTCCTTCTTATCAAACATAGCATTAGACGTCAAAGGTAAATTTTCTACTTAATTTCTCTTTTCATGAACGTCTTTTTTTTCTTTTTTTTTTTTTTGAGCAGGCCAGCAGGGTACTTTAAAAATTAAAAATGGAAGATGGATTTTTATTAAGAAGATTTTTTAATACTATTTATTGAATTAATATATTAAATTTTTTTAATCGTTAAATTTATATATATATATATATAAATATAAATTTAACGCGGATGGCACACCGGAGAAGTTCCTTTCTGCGCTTAGCTTGAGGAATGCGTTAATAATAGTCTGCGCACGTGAGGAAATGAAGAAGAAGAATATACAAGTCAACGGTGTTCAGTTGTTAACGTAGTCTACAAAAGCAACGTGCCAAATGATAGTAACGTGGCTGTTGTCCAGCACCACCAAAATGCAGTCTGACTATCTTTATGCTTCTCTTTTCTTTTCTTTTCTTTTCTTTTTTTTTCTCTTTTTCTCTTCATGACATTGTTGAAGTTTGTTCAGCACGTGTCTTGCATATAAGAAAGGAATTTAGTACTTACGAGAAAAATCAACGCAACAGAGAAAACAAAAATCAATGAAAAACTGATAAGAAAAGGAAGACCGAAAGAAACGGCAACGGAAGAAACAAAAATGGAAAAAAAACTGACAACGAAAAGAAAAATGAGAGAAAGCGGCGAACCCAAAATAATCGAGAGAAGAAAGAAGCCCTTAAGGCTGCATCCCACGTGAAATGAAGAAGAAACCTACGCCCAAAAACTATCATCAGAGCAAACAATAAAGGGTAACAGAGTCAATACACATAAAAGGAAACTGAAAAGACCAAAAAACCACGCACAGGAACCAAACGGAAGAACAAAGCCCATGGGCAAAAAAAGGAACAGAAAAATCACTGTACAAAGAACAGTGATCTGTGCCTCAATGAACAGTGAAAAATGATCCCTCCTTTAGGCTCGTTCAGTTCGTTGATTCGAGTTTTTAATTCGAGTTGAGATGTGATTTTATGTAAGAGCTTTTTACTGTAGCAAAAAAGTTAGATGTGATTGTTTCTGAGAGCTTTTTATTGTAGCAAAACTCGAATCGGCGAAATGAACAAAACATAATAATTTGAAAAAATTATTTATTTTTTAAGAGAATTTTTCTAGTAGACGAGTTTTTAGTGGTAGTATCAGTTTTTAAGCGTTAGATCAATTTAAATTCACATTAAATTGAAAAAATACGCAGAATAAATAATTTTTAATATAGATCTAACGGTTGAAAATAGATAATTATCGATAGTTCATTTTTTTTATCCTACCAGATAAACTCCATATCATACGTAAAATAATGGGTATATCTCCATCTCAAAGAAGAATGAGAAAATTGTTGAGTCTGAATTTTTATCCCTTTTTGTTAATATAGTTATTTGATTAAAAATGATATTAATGAAGAGTAATGAGTGAAAATTAAGATTCATGCATTTTTAAGTGATATTTATTAAGATTTTTCAAGAATATATATATCAAATGTGTATAAAGAGTCTGTTTATTTCACACATTTAAAACTATAATCCTAATTCTATTAAAATATTTTTCTCTTACAAAAAATTTGAATCAAAAAAATTTCCGTTAATGATTGTCTCATAGAATTTGAATTCAATATTAAAATCAATGTCTTAAATGCACGAACTAAAGAGAAAAAATTCTCACAACAGTTTTATCTCTCACAAATAGTGGTTCACGACTACGGCTACCGATTCTTGGGAGAATTTCACTAGAATGAAGAAGCTTTACGGATTCACGTCACCATGAATTCTCTCTCTCTTTTTTTTTTGGGAGATTGAAAGGGAAAGAAAGAAAGAAAGAAAGAAAGAAAAATCTTTTTAAAATAAGAGTATATTTGTTGCAGTTTTATTTGTGTAGAAAAACTACTTAGCGTTAGCGTTTGTTGCAAGAAATTTTTAAAGGTAATAAAATTCGATTTAAAATGTCAATTTTTCTGTTAATTTCTTTTTTATCACTTTTTATATTCACTAATATAATATATTATTATTTAAATAAAAAATGAGATAATTAAATACACGTGATAAATAATAAAAATAAAAATTAAAAGTAATGTTAGCATTTCACTGAATAAATTTTCCATCTTCAACATTTGAGACTACTACAAAATGGGCTCTCAGCCCATTTCAATGTAGACCTGGGTAGGGGTGTAATTTGGCCAGGTAGGGTCGAGTTGAGCTAAAAAATTGAGCCGACCTGCTCAGTACGGGTGGAGAAAATTTTGGGCCGTAACACTCTTTTAAGCCCACAAACCCGCAACATGTCGGGTGACCTTGGGTAGGCTCGGGTTACTCGGGTTACTCGAGTTGGTGAAAATCAAATTTAATCTATGACTTTATACCTCTTTTAACAGTCTAAAAGCATAAAATTCATAAACAGTCTATAAGCATTAACATAACGTCAAACATACTTCTTAACAGTCAATCAAGTCCAGAAATAAAATTAACAATACGTCAAATAAACAATCTATATAGAGATAGTCCAGCAAAATAGATTTAGGGTTACACACCTAAATCAGGTCGGGTCGGGGCAAAGCGGGTTCAAAATACCCGCTCCGCTCCCCAACCCGCACAGTGCAGGTTGGGACTATTTGAATCCGAATTTAAAAAAAAAAAAAAAAAACCCTACGCTTTCGGATTCGAGCTCATTTCTTACACCCCTAAATCTGGGTTTGAGAGGGGGGAAACCTTAGATTAAAATAAGAAACTGAGGAGCCTCAGGACTTTGCAAACGGAGGAAGGGAAAGCCTCAGCCTCGCTATTGTTCTTCTGCAATATTTTCCTGTGGGTGAGTTTGTGCATTATTTGTTTAATTCTTTTTGAAAAACCTCTGAAAATATTTTTTCTGAAACATGCATGGAATTTGTCATCCCCAACGCCTCAATTCTCCAATCTTGTCGCAGAAATTTGTTCTTGTCGCCTTTTACAATGCTAAAGTAGTTTTATTTTTATTGGTTGGAGATGTCATTACACAAATAAATTAGAAATACTCAGTTGTTTTCTAGTTCGTTTTGTAGGAAGAAGTGGTATTTTGAAAACAAGTTTTTATTATTATTCTTTTTTTTTTTGTGGGTTTTGAATCAATTGAACTGTGTGTGAACAAATATAGCTTGAAGGGTAAAATTTCTGTGCACATTTCATTGTAAGACTTTCCATTGTATTTGACATTAGTTATATGTGGATATGGTTCTAGCATTTTGACTGGTTTATATGCCTGTTTCTCCATTAAAAAATGGATTTCTAAATAATTAGATTATTTGCCTATTTGATGTTGTTCAGTTTTATCTTCAGGTAAAATTTAAGATGTGAAAGACTTAAACATTTTGGGTGATAATATAGCACTAAAACAGTTTTCTGATTGAAGAAATTTTTGGAAATGATAATAAATTCTCTCCTCAAAAACCTGGACTTTAAAGGCAGCCTTAACAAAATGGTGAAAACCTTGGTTATATCCAGTGTTGGAAGTTCGGGTCGACGGGCTGCCCGAAGCCCGAATTTTTTCGGGCTCGGGCGGGCAAGCCCATCTCCCGCCCGCCCAAGCTAGATTTTCGGGTTCGGGCTCGG